ATGCCTGTAATCCCAGAGCCTTGGGAGGCCTAAGACTGGAGGATCACAAGTTCAAGGTCAGCCTTAGCAACTTAGCAAGGCCCTAAGCAACTCATTGAGACCCAGTCTCTAAATAAACCTCAAAAGGGCTGGGATGTGGCTCAGTGGTTAAGTCCCCTTGGATTTAATTCCCAGTACTCCCACCCCCACCAAAAAAAAAAGATACACACTTGTTGTGTCAATTAGAAGCAGAACTCACTGCTGGAACAATCAAATAAAATTAATGTTAAAAGATTTATCAAGAACTGTTTTCAGACTGGGCATGGTAATCCCAGTGGCTTGGGAGGCTGAGGCAGAAGGACTGAGAGTTCAAAGCCAGCTTCAGCAAAAGCGAGATGCTAAGCAACCTAGTGAGATCCTGTTTCTAAATAAAATACAAAATAGGGCTGGGGATGTGACTCTGTGGAGTGCACCTAAATTCAATCCTCAGTAAAACAAACAAACAAACAAACAAACTGTTTTCAGTGAGGAAAATAGATATGACATCATTTAAATGTCTGCCACACCCCACCCCAAAAAATGTCTACCAAAAGATGCTTGGTTATAAAAGCTATCATTATCAATAGCACGGCATGTAGCCATGTAAAAAAATGGAGTCACAGGTTTAACACAAAAAAGTTTTTCCCACTTCCTTCTAGGTAAAATTATATATGCATCCCCACACACCTGTTAGGCACAAAGTATCCAGAACATTCACCAAAATGTTAAGCAGTGATCATCTCTGGGAGGATTAATTGTAATTTAAAATTCACAAATAATTAATCCCTATGTGAGGATATGATAGAGTTAACCCATGATGAAAATATTGTACCCTAGAATTCAGTTTTAGATCCCAGAGAGTTCTAAGTTTTCTTTGGTCTTCACAGTACACACCAGAACTACTAGAATGCTCCTGACTCGCCATATTTGCAATCAATGATTCTATTATCCTCTAAAGGTAGTTTCCTTCTAAATATTTTCCTGGTTCCTGAACTGTCTATACGTCCTGAACGCTGGTGCTCACCCTCGTGCTCTTCCCACCACGTCCTTCTTCTCCAGCCAGTTCTGGCCTTCTTTGTATAAGCCTCTATCATCAACTTCATTATTATCTCCTTTAGTCAGAAATTTGATGTCTCCATTATCTCTGAAAAGCAAAATGATGTACTCTCAAAAATTATTTTTAACATAGCACCATTAAAAAGAATTAGTTCACATACAACATTAAGGTCAGACATGAGCAGACGTGAGAAAGCAGCTGAGGAATACTTGATCTTCCATTGATCTAAGATGATTACTTACAGACATTCAGATGAAGCACAAATATAATGACAATTCTGTGGTTTAGATTCTAAAACACCCCAGTAACCCTGACAACAAGGAAGCACGGAAGAGCGCCAGGGATGGGGAAGGCAAGGACTGGCTTCCAGTACAGCTACACTTCTTGCCTCACACCTTCTTGGAAGGAAGGAAAGGCTAGCATCTAACCTGTTTTTCAATCTGGAAATAAGGGTATTCATCGGTGGGCAAAATATGTGAACAACCTCTGTGCAATTCTTTCAAATCCAGATTCACAGCACACCGAGATGCTGCTCAGGGGGAGCTTCTCCAGGCTTGATCCCGTCACTCATCTCGAGTCAGACTAGGTCAGCAGTCAGAACACGAGGCTGATTTAACAAAGGGGTTGTACCCAAACTGTTTCTATTTCTTCTTAGACCTCATGAGCCAATTAGTCAACATGGATTATATTATTTTTCACTCTAGACATAAATTTGGTCCCCAAAATTACTTGACTTGAGCACAAAGTAAATCTAAAAGCAACTATGCTCTTAGCTGCCCTCAAACTTTCCCTTGTCAAGCACAGATGTATCAATGCACACTCCCTTCACCACTGAGCAAGCTGGTGTAAAATCCTGTTGGCAAGGAAATGAGAATCACCATGGATGGGATTTGTTAGGCATTCTAAACTGGCGCTGAGGTGGCCTTGATGCTAACACACAGAACCATACAGTCTGGTGCTGTAAAGAGGGTGGTCCTTCAATAAGGCAAATGAAAAAACATACCATTCTAATGAGATAAAATATTTAAAGCCCACAAAGATTTGAAACCATGTCCAAAAGAGCGTTTTGACTTACAGTCATGGTTATACAGGAAACTGAGAAGATAAACTCCTGGCACTTCTCACAATTCATGCAAATTAAAACCAGTACCATTTCCTCAACTTTGAAATGTCTCATCTTCAGAAATTATTTTTAAATCAGGTGAGAGTACTGCCACGTCATGACTGAATGTGCTTCTTCCTCAGCAAGTAACAAGTAGGCAGCACCAACCACTGGACAGCACCAGTGCAGGGACACTAATGAAAACGGAGGGTCCCGGTGTCCAACACAAAGTGCACTGAACATGTTAAGTACCAATGTCTTTGGGGACACCTGGAAGCAGTGAATGAAATGAGAATCTAATACCAGAATACACAAATAGTTCCCCCCTCTCTCTCTCTCTCTCTCTCTCTCTCTCTCTCTCTCTCTCTCTCTCACACACACACACACACACACACACAGAGAGAGAGAGAGAGAGAGAGAGAGAGAGAGAGAGAGAGAGAAATGTTCCATTATTTAAAAACACATATAAATACCTAAATATAATTCTATAAATCATGTAGATAAAAATTCTACACTAAGCTACAAAAAGGGAAATGAACAAACAAGTATATAAAATGCTACATTTTCAACTGTCTCCTGGAAACTTTCTATATTTGAACTAGAGGTAAATGTTTGGTTCCAAAAAGGAAACCAGACCTTATTAAGGTCTGAAGTCCTCCCAGCACCTTAGGGAAAGGCAAGGCTGTCTGTAGGAGAAGAATTAGTGCAGGGTGTGCCATGTCCAAATAATGAGGCGAGATGGGGAAAGGAATTTTTATCCATCTAGGGCTAATAATACTGCTGAAAATGCCACTTTGGCCAAATGTACAGAGAAACAGCTAGCTTTTTTGCACTTCAGAAAATAATTCCTTATCAAAAGAATCCTGTTACAATGTGATTTGATTCTGTTCAAGACTCCTTCAAATAACTAATGTAACACATTCCACCTAACATTTGTGTAGTGATTTGACTTTTTAGGTACTTTTGTGAACATAAGTTCATTTAATTCTCATAATCACCATGAGTTATTGTGGGCAAAATAGTATTACTCTTGCCTTACAAACTGAGGCGGCTGGTCCAAAGTCATTTGATTAGTAAATGGCAGAACTAGGAACATAACCCAATGCTTTCACTACTTTTTAATTCACCATCTACCAAAATTTACAAAAACAAAAGAAGAAGAAAGGGGCCTCTTTACTTTTCATGAACTTTGATTACTCTGTGAACTATTGGAATGTCTCGTCCTTCAACTTTAAAAACGACTATTTCACCGGCTCTAATGGGGTCTTCCCGGAAATTTGTGAGGAAGAGAAGGTCTCCCCGGTGAAAGGCCGGCTCCATGCTGCCACTGGAAAGAAACACAAAAGTGAACATCAGTGTCACCCAGTGTCCAAAAGGGAATGATGACAAACTTACCAGTCAGAGCTGAAATTCCCATCAACAGCCTGCAAGTCTCAGATGCTCTAAAGGGTTTCTTTCCTGCTCTGGAGACAGGATGAGAGAGGAAACAGTTTCTACCCAGCTTGCGGCAGGCAAGGGCCCCAACAGGCCCCTCTGCAGTTTGCATCAGGGAAGAAAAGAACCAAGGAGAATGTGGACTCTGCACAGTAAAAGCTGCCAGTTTGAGCCTTCAACAAGCCCTATCTCTGCCAATCCGGGACTCCTCACTCAGAACTTCAGGCCAGGCCCGCTGGCTAGTGCCCTAGGGCAATTCTTTCATTCCTTGATACCCCAGCACCCAGGACAATGTTACTTGTTTAAGAAAAGAAAAACAGAAAAGTGACTACACCCTAGGGAGCAGGACCTGTCCTACAGCCTTGCTGAGGGTTGGGACAAAATTTGAACCCTGGTCTTGCTTCCTGCAGCAGCACCCTTCCAACCAGGTC